TTTAAAAATAGTTATTTATTTATCTATTTATTTATTTATCTATTTATTTATTTATTTTGAGACAGGGTCTCACTATGTAGTTCAAACTGCCCTTAAACTCACTATGAAGCTTGAAATCATGATGACCCTCCTGTCTCAGCCTCCCAAATGCTGTGATTACAAGTATGTGCTACCACACTCAGCTAAAAGACCCAATTTTAACATTTCAATTTCTATGTCTAGTTCTTTACTTGAATCTATCTATATGCTCAAAAGACATCTGGGCTGAAAATACAAGTTTAGGAGTCATCCCCTCAATAATAATAAATAAAGCCAAAAAATGTACAGAGTAAAAACAGAATTTTTGAAAACTAAAGAATCTTGGCTGGGCATGGTGGAACACACCTGTAATCCCAACTCTCAGGAGGCTGAGGCAGGAGGACTGCCAGGAGTTCAATCAAGGCCAACCTGGGATACATAGTGAGATCCTGTCTCAAAAGAAAAGAGAGAGAGAGAGAGAGGGATTCCAAAATCTTAGAAAATATAATTTAATGAAAAAGTGATGAAAACATGAGCACTGCTGAAATGTAAAGACGACTATCCAAAAGATGCCTTAATCACCTTTGTTTTCCTAAGTGTTTAGAAAAATGAGTGGAACACAGAACTGAATAAATGTCAAGCTCTAACACTGAGTCCATTTTAACATCCAGAAATACTACTCCAACAGAGTTATAAAAAAAAAAAAAGTAAAGTGATACACAAAAGGGAAGGAGGGAGATGTCTTTTCCACCTTAAATGTTGCATAGAGCCTGTACATTTCCAACCGGTCTCCCTGAAAATCACCGTATAATATGAGGCACAATGAAGTTTCCACAGCACTCGTACACTTGTGGGATACTTACTGCTCACAGCACCAGAGCTCCAGATTTCTCTGGCAGGTGCTCCCATGTGGGAAAGCAGCCTTCCAGCTCCTTGAGGACTCTCTCCCACCCATACAACCACCTAAAGTGCATCCAAGGCTCAGATGGCTCACAGGCGTGCACCGCAAGGTGCTGCCATTTTTGTTATCTCTTATGAGCAGTTCAGTTCCTTGTGCTGCCATTTCCAGAGAGACCGAGACCTCCTGCCAGATGCCACTGTTGTCCTCACCTATCAATAAGGACTGGAACACTAGCGGGCGCCACTCCTGTGCTACTCTTTCATTAGGCATGTCACTGAGGACTTCTGTCAAGCACTATGACTAAACAGCCACAGCTAAGTGCCACAGTTAGCTTCTTGTGGGGATTATGCCCCCTCACACTCAAGCTATCATCTGGAGTTCCCCAAAGCAGTGCTGCTTTTGTGTCTCTCTCATCTTATAGACCTGAGTGGAAGAGGCTCTTCCCAATTAATTTTTTACTTACAGATCTCTTTCTCACTCTAAATTTTAGGCATAGATTGCTGCTGCCATCTATCGGTATTTATCCATGAATTTCAAATGTGGCTTTAAGAGCCTGGTGTTAAAGAGTGCTTTTTTTTTTCTTTTTTTTAAGAGTATTTAAAGTTAAATTGATTAGAGAGAGCCAAAATGGGTTATAAATTATTGACAATCAATCCAGAAGTCATGTTACAATGGGCTTCATGGGTACATCTCTGATCAAACTGCCTTCATTTTTACTCCACTCTAGCATCCCACCATTACCACAGCTCAGCTATTTTATATTTAATAATCTCTGGGCATTTTTTCACTTGTTTCAAATACTACCCTACAAATTCTCTTCCAGGTCAAAGTCCCAAGAAAGATGCTGATGGTCAAACTAATTACTTTAAGGGAATTTGTGTCAGGACATCTCATAGGCTACTGATTCTCCTTTGGGTCAGCGGTAACCATAATATGATGATGTCTGTAAGAATACATGGAGAAGTCACCTCCCATAAGGAGTAAGAGTGGCAGCAGGCATGCTGAGACATGATCTCCCTACACTAGGAAACATGTATATTCCTATACACATAAACCTTCAGCAAAATAGAGCTAGGCACATAGTAAGCTCCCAAGTATTTTGTAGCTCTGTGGCTTAAAGATTAAGTTTCTCTTCCTTTAAATGGAATTTAAATCCACCTAGGCTGTATCTGTTTATTTTTCCAGTTTTCTTTATCAATTTTGTTTTTCCTTGAACTCTATTATATAATTAACATTTGTTGAGTGCTGACAACATGCCTGGTACTTTCCTAAGCGTCACATGGGTTTATTCATTTGATCCTCCCAAGAAACCTCATGTACGTTTTTTTGGCCCTGAAACCCTGGCAAGAATTCGGGTGACAGCCTTCCACCATCCAGTTGGTCACCACGTTATTGTCTGTCCCTCCGGCTTCATGGCAGAGGAGGGAGCCAACAACCATCGCCCATTTCAGATCTATAAGAACACATGCTGAATGTCGTCTGTGTTTTGAACGTACTGAGGCCTGCTTTATGGTTCTGTGCATGCTGGCTTCTGATTTACTCTCCAAGTGCCTCAGCCTCCTCTATTTTCAGCAGCTCCTAAGAACTGATTGTAGTCATAAAGGATACCTTTGAGTCATTTATAGAAAAATGGGTGGCTCTTGAGACAATAATGCTAAGTGAAATGAAATACAGAAGGTTAAATATTGTATAGCTTCTCTAACATAAGAAAGCATAAATTACAGGAATAGCAAAATAAAAGAGATGATAATGATAGGACATGGGGAGGCAGACTCTACGGAGATGGGAAAGAGATCTGAGGAAGGGGAAGAGAAATGACCAAGATGTGATATGTATCTGTACCAATTCTCCAAGAGGAATTCAACTGTTATGCATAACAATATACAATAATACACTAATACTAATATAAATAAATCAGTCTGGAGGTAGATTAGAAAACCTCGTGTTAGGTAAAAAGAGCCAAAAACTAGGACCAGGCCAGGACCACAACAAGCCTTTAATATGGGGAGGATCTGCTAGGCTGTCTCCAAACAAAGGAGAGAAAAGCAATATGGCCGAGACAGGGAATGCTGGAAAAAATATAACTGGACAAACACTTTCAAACAATATATAAGACAATTTATGAAACTAAAGTGCATGCAAATATATTTGGCCATTTGAATTACAACATCTCTTTTAATTAAGACTAATCAAAACTTTTGCAGGTCAGTTAACAGAGAGCTTTTGTAGAATTAGAATCAGAAGGACTGTAAATGTAAACCTTTTATAACAAACTTGAAACCAACAAGCAAACATATGCATTTCTTTGATAAATCACTTCTGCATCTCTTTTCGACACACCTAGGCCTTCTGATCTTGTGTATCTCTCTTTAGTCTTCTAACAAGACAAACATACAAATTTTTGTTTGTTTTTTGAGACAGGGTCTCACTATGTAGTTGAGGCTGACCTAGAACTCACTATGTAGCCCAGGCTGGTCTCGAACTCACAGCAATCCTCCTGCCTCAGCCTCCCAAGTGCTGGGATGCCCGGCTACAAAATCTTTTTATATCAAAATTATATCCCCTTTATTTTTATCCTTTTGTAAGACTAGGTTATCTGGTTTACCAGTTGGAGATCTATTCCTTTATAGGGAAGTGGAGCAGTGGACCTCAGAAGTCTATCACTAGTGCCTGTGCATTGACTATCTCTTTTGGTTATTCTTTTCTGCTGGGTGTTTAAGACCAAGTTAAAGTGAGACCTGTGTTAATATGAACCTCTTGGTATCTGTCAAGGTTGGTTAAGTCTCTTAGGCATTATTTTGAAACCATGCATAGCATCTCTCAGCTCCTGTGTCAGCTGTTAGGATGGGTCATGGGCCTTGCTTGACCAAGTTGCTTTCAGTGGAAATGTGGGAGATTTTTTTCTCTTGGTGATCCTCTTTTGGCACACATTACATTTGTCCTCTGGTGTCCAGCAATCTCCCTGCTCAGGAGGTTGGGTGACTTACCAAAGATGTTAGGTGCTGCAGAAAAGGTTCCTTCGTATCTCGGATCTTTGATGACCTTGGAGGGCCAGGGCCAAAACATTGGTGGTCTTCTTAGCCCACTTACCTTTTAGTGTTGGTCTTTGGTGGTTGAACACCCAGAAGAGAAGATCAGTGACATCAGTAGTACAGTAGGAGCAGTGAGCTTAACTATCACAACTTTATCTGAATAACAAGCACCCTGGAACCTAAAATATAGTTAGAGGACTGTTATTTTTAACAATCATGGTTGTTCTAGTAGTTGATTTACTGTAGAATATTAACAGAAAAAACTTTGAATCAAGAGCCATACATAATAATAATAATAATATTTTAGCATTATGACATTACCTTTGTAACACCTCGAAGTTCCCTTCTAAGTGTGTATGATTCCAAGCAGAAAGCAACAGGTCGTCAGTCAGCTTTAGTCATTATTTTTGTCACCTCTTTTCCCCGCGATAACTCTAAATGTAGTGACTACAATCTCCAGTTAAAAGCAGAAAGAGAAAAACACCCTTTGCAGCGGCAGCGCCAAGGGGTTCCAGCTCCTAACCCAGGCGCGGGAAAACCCTCACGCCGCCGCCTTGGGTCTAGTTGGTTTGAGCATGCGTGCAGCTGGCAACTCGCCAATCGGGCGGGGCCGCACGGAG